TATATATATATATTATTTATATTATATATATATATATATATATATATATATATATATATATATATATATATATATATATATATATATATACACATATATATATATATATATATATATAAAGTACTACTTTTAAAGTTATATATATGTATATATATATATATATATATATATATATATATATATATATATATATATATATATGTATATATATATATATATATATATATATATATATATATATATATATATATATATATATATATATTTATATATATATATATATATATATATATATATATATATATATATATATATATATATATATATATATATATATACACTTGTATGTACAAAATTTGCCTAATAAAGAAAAAATTGTTTCAGGATTTGATACCCTTTCAACAACTTGTGTTGATAATGGACCTAATATTCTTGAAAATCTGTCTCACAAAAATGCGCGACTGAGTCAGGGTGATAACTTGAATTTGGAAATTTCTGCTACTGGAAGTAATTTGACTTATCAATGGCTAAAAAACTTTGAGGTAAATAATTTTTTAAAGTTATGCTTTTGAATGGCAATTCCCTCCCCCCCCCCCCCTAAGTTATGCAAAATGAAATATTTTATGTTTATTCCAATCAATTTGCTTTTTAATGGCAATTCTCTAGGTCAGGTCAGGAGTATGGCCTTCATGATCATCCTGCTACTGGTAACATGTAACCCAGTGCAACCTGTTCCATGTTCTGCTGCCTTGCAGGATTTGCTATCTAAGCAAAGGCTGGAAGGAGTGTTCTTCCTGTCATCAGTACTATCTTATATCAGTCATGCCTATAGTAATTTTTTTTTTTTTTTTTCATATAGTTGGAGGTGCCTTAGTTACTGTATTAGCTCACCTGTAATCTACGTTTTATGTATGTTTGTGTTCTGTCTGAACCTCTGGCGCGGTGTTTGCTCACCCGTAAGTTATTTTATGTTCTTTATGTATGTCTGTGTTCTGTCTGAACCTCTGGTGCAGTGTTCGCTCACCCGTAAGTTACTTTATGTTTATTTTTATGTTTTTTATGTTTTTTTTATGTATGTTTGTGTTCTGTCTGAACCTCTGGCGCGGTGTTAGCTCACCCGTAAGTTACTTTATGTTTTTTATGTATGTTTGTGTTCTGTTTATACTCTAATGCAGCGTGAGCTCAGTAACTAACTACTTACTCCAACTACAAAACCTACACTCACCTTAGACTCCTGTATTTTGTTAGATGCAGTGTTTTTCCTAATGCACTTCCAAAATGTCATGCCTGGTTTTCTCAAAGTACTGTTGCGGGAAGTAACTCCTTTTAACTACTCCAGGTCAGGTCAGGATAATTGAGATCAATCTTGCTACTGGTATCACGTAACCCAGTACCACCTGCCAAATGCTCTGCTGCCTTGCAGAGTGTGCTCTTCTTATGCAAAGGCTAGGAGAAATAAATTCCGACTAAAAATTCCCCTGCCTTGGGGCTCTTGGTTGAGTAAAGGCTAGAGATGGTGTCTTGATAAAAACACTCATCTTGGGCAGATGTTAACTGCATCCAGCTAAACATCCCCTGCCTTGGGGCTCTTGATTGAGTAAAGGCTAGAGATGGTGTCTCGATAAAAATACTCATCTTGGGCAGATGTTAACTGCATCCTGCTACTGTCTTGTAGAAGGCCTCTTAGGCAAAGACTTTAGGGGTAAGCAGAAAAAATCTGCTAACCAGCCTCGAACCCCTTCTTCATCTATTAGGCTGGCGTAGATGTAACCTGTATTACATTGTTTCCTGTCTAGGATGATGAATGCTGGATCTCCTTGACTCTACTCATAGATTTTTGCTTATGCCTCCTTGATAATGGCTATGCAACTCTTCCTGTTATCTCCATATGAGGGTACAGCTCTAAAACTCAGTTTAATGGTTCTGAGGCCGGCTGGTAGTAAGGTTTCCCGAACTCTGTGGTAGCTCTCAGAGAGGCTGATTCCATTAACAGCTGCAAAATATCAGAGTATTAACAGTGCCATGTTGCGCATGGATGGTGTCCCTGTTAATGCTTTTGGTGTGCATTGTCAAGGCCACATAAGGAGCCCTATGTCACGGCTTAGGGTTGATTAACAGGACTGAGACAACTGCATAGCTCATTGATTAGGAGGCTGTGCTCTATCTATGAATGAGTCTAGTTCTCAATAAACCCAAATCATGACCAAAGTAACCAAAAATTTAAAACCTAAAAAACCATCCCCACCACCTAAATATTTGAATATATCTTTTACAAATATTCGCGGTGTACGAAGCAACTTTCCATCAGTTGAGTCTTACCTCTTGCAAATTTCACCAGACTTGCTTGCACTCAGTGAAACAAATTTAAGTTCTGCAATTCCTTCTTCAGATGTCAGTGTTGATGGGTACTATCCTTTGATTCGTAAAGACTCCAATAGTCACATGCTAGGTTTAGGGGTATACATACGCATTAATTCCCCTATTTGTCGTGAAATCAGGTTCGAATCCTTTGACCATTCTTTTATGTGCTTTTGCCTAGCACCTCTTCACTCTATCACCTTTCTCTTTGTTCTTTATCGTTCTCCTTCTTCCCATGATTGCACTCTTTTAGATGTTATCTCTGATCAAATTGACCATGCCCTCTCTCTTTACCCCTCTGCCAATATTGTTGTTGTTGGTAATTTTAATGCCCATCACACTGAATAGGTTGGCTCTAACACCACTGATCCTGCTGGCACTAAAGCCTTTAACTTCTGCGTTTCTCAATCTCTTACTCAGATAGTTAACTTTGTGACTCGTTTTCCTGACAACCCTAATCATTTACCTTCACTCCTTGACTTATGTCTTGTCTCTGACCCTAGCTTATGTTCAGTTTCTCCCTTTTCTCCCTTAGGTGGTTCTGACCATGCAATGATCTCTATAAATCTTTCTTCTCGTACTTTTTTTTTGGGCTCACCTTATCATCGCACCACCTACTACTACCCTAAAGCTGACTGGGATTCCTTTCATGATTTTCTTTGTGATGGTCCTTGGGCTGATGTTTTTTTTCTCTCAGCTGACAAATGCTCCTTCTACGTAACCTCCTGGTTTCAGGCTGGAATGGAAGATTTTATTCCTTCTCGTCGGTTTCAAGTCAAGCCTCATTCTACTCCATGGTTTTCTCCTTCTTGTGCGGCTGCTATATCCAATCGTAATCATTTTTTTCATCTTTTTCAAAAGAACAACTCTCTTGAGAACAAACAGCTATTTATTATTGCAAGAAATCGATGTAAAAAGGTGCTTTCTGATGCTAAAATCCATTATTCTCAGTTCACTAAATCTCGCATCTTATCGCAGAAGTTAGGCTCTAAAGACTTTTGGAAAATTTTCAACAGCATTGTTAACAAGGGTAGATCTAACATTCCATCTCTCATTCATGGGACTAATCTTATTACCTCTCCCAAGGATAAGGCAGAACTATTTGCAAAGAACTTTTCTTTTAATTCCACTCTTGAATCTTATGAACATTCTCTTCCTTCCATTCCAGTCAAATAGGTTGACCCATTGTTAGACATTCAAATCACTCCGGCTTCTGTTGCTAAAGTCATATCTCAATTAAACTCGTCTACAGCTTGTGGTCCAGACAACATTCCTGTCACAGTCTTGCAGAATTGTTCTCCAGAACTTTCTTCAATTCTCTCTAAACTATTTAACAAGTTAAATGTTAAATATATAAATATATTAAATATATTAAATGTTAAATATATATATATATATATTATATTATATATTATAATATTTTAATATATATATATATATATATATATATATAATTTAATGTTATGAAATATTAGTTGACCCAAGACAGGTTTTCTGTAAAAGCCACAAAAAACAGAAAAGTGATCCCAAATCATTAGCAATATTTAAACATTAATATTTTTATTCCGTTTAATGTAAATATTTATTTTAAAAAAAAAGATAGGTCTTTTATATTTTTTTTATTTGAAGATGAAAGCGCTTATAGGAAAAAAACACTTTTATTTTAAAGTTAGTGCATTTCTAAACTTTTTTTTTTGATAAACACAAAAATAATTGTGACGCCAAGCTCGCTTTTATATTGAGTGAAACAGCCGTGATATATATATATATAATTTTTTTTTTTTTGTTATTTACCTCCTCAAGGCCGAGAAGGCCACTACAGGCAAGGAGGCTACTTAATAGTGGTTGTAACCCACTCTCAACTCTATAACTCTGAAACACAAACTTTGACGAACAAGGCCGCTCCGCAGAGAAACAAGTTGAGTATATATATATATATATGTATATACATATATATATATGTATATACATATATATATATATATATATATATATATATATATATATATATATATATATATATATATATATATATATATATATATATATATATATATATATATATATATATATATATGTATATATATATATATATATATATATATATATATATATATATATATATATATATAAATGCTTTTGCATTTAATGTTTAACTTAAATTAAAAGGTAAAATAAAAATATTAAATATAAATCTAGGTAAATTTTGATAAATTTGAATTTGAGAATAATTATTTTAGAATCTGTAAGTATGTACAACCCTTGAAAAATGAGGTCAGCAATAAATTGCCAACTTCAAACTTTTAGCAGTCGGCATCTGCAAAAATGTTTGACAAAAGGGGAACCATAAAACAGAACCAAGGCCGGCTTTCTTTAAACAAGCTCAAGCACATTTAGGTCAGCAGTTAGGTCAGTCGAATGTTAATCCTAATTATCCTAGGCTGTATGTATATATACTTTTCAAATATTTGAGTCAAATTTAAGTTAAAGAAACTTTTCTCCTTTAGATGGTTCCATGCTAACATCTCTCTAAATCTTTTATCTCATACTTTTATACAATATCATTGCACTATTTACCACTCCCATATCTCCTAAGTAATCTTTTGAATCAAATTTGGAAATATAGCAAATATGGAAGCTTTTATTCCTACTTATTGGTTTTTCAAAAAAAATATATAGAAGTGATAATAATAATAAAAAGTATTTATTGTAGTGATAAATGGTAAAAAAGTAGGAGTGATAAAAAATCTATTGGAGTAATAAGAAAAAGATGTTGCAATTTTGAGGGGCATGATGGGAATTTCGTAAGTTTGAATGTAAAGTATGCAAAATGTATTTAAGAAGCCTGAAAAGGTTTCCACAATTTTTTAGAGATGTTGTTGTTACCTTTATTATTGTCTTTTTACCTAAATTAAGGTTTTGTTATAATTGGAAATCATATGATTGGATGGCTCAATTTGATTGAATGGATTTTGATTATAAATTTAATTATACTTATAAATCTGGTTTATTTTTATTTTAGCCTTTAAAGGGAATGACTTCACAGGTTTTAAAAATGATAAATTTAAAAACTAGCGACAGTGGATCATATACTTGTGAAGTAATTCAAAATACAATAAGAGTGTCTAGCAGTATTGCAATAATAATTGTTTTTGGTAAGTATTGTCAATTTTTATAATATTAGTATTTTAAATCTCTCCAAAAAACAATTTTTACGTAAAAATTTGTGAAAGTTGGTTATGTTAAAAATATTATCTAAAATTTTTTTAGATCCGTATCCTGTATTTTTGAACCCTTCTTCTGATTATAGTTTAACAGTAATGGAGAATGGACCTAAAATTAAGAATCTTCTGATTATTTCAGCAAGAACGCAAAGTAATGAATCTAATTTTGAGGAAATGTTTTTTGATATTATATCAGGTAAACTTAAATTGTAAATCATATTTTGGTTTTATATAGTACACATTTAGGTGGTATGTGTAGACATTTTTAAAAAAACTTGTTTTTCTGACATTCAAATATATACTAATATATATATATATATATATATATATATATATATATATATATATATATATATATATATATATATATATATATATATATATATATATATATATATATATATATATATATATATATATATATATATATATATATATATATATATACATATATATATATATATATATATATATATATATATATATATATATATATATATATATATATATATATATATATATATATATATATATATATATGTATATATATATAAAATATATATATATAGATAATATATTTATAATATATTATATATATATATATAAGTATATTATATATATATATAAAATATATATATTTATATATATATAATATATTTATAAAACATAGTAAGTTATAAAAGTATTTGTATATAATTTTTAAAATTTAGGCAATGATCTTCAATACTTTCAACTGTTTCCAAACAGATCTTCAACAGGTACAACACTACAAAGAACTCAACAGTTAAATAGAGAAATGATAAAAAGCTTCCAATTAAAGATCAGAGCCTCTAATACATTAAACCCAAAATATAACACTGTTCAATTAATATGGATCACAGTTGTAGATGAAAATGATAATTCTCCTATATTTGATAAAACAAACTATAATACCTCATTGTTAGAAGGATCTCCTATTGGAACAGTAATAGTTCAAATACATGCAATTGATCCTGATGAAGGTCGCAATTCAATTATTGTCTATTCTATTTTGCCCATTATTGATAGCAGATTGTTTGCAATTGATCAATATACTGGGATAATCACATTGACAGATAATCTTGATACAAATGTAAAATCAGCATACCTGATTATAGTTAAAGCTAATAATTTATTGGGTTCTTTAAACTCATCATATGCCCAAGTGTTCATCACCATAACTAATATAAATAAGTTTGAACCTTACTGGTTGAAGGATACATACAACGTTGATATATCAGAGTCAGTGACTCCAGACACACAGATACTACAGTTGCTGGCAGCTGATGAAGATTCTGGAACTAATGGATTAATAAAGTATGAAATTGTAAGTGGTAATGAAGCTAATTTATTTGATGTTAAGTTAACTGGCATGTTGGTAACAAAGGGTAAACTAAGTTATGATTTACAAAATATTTATCTAATAATAATTCATATTCAAGATGGTGGGTCACCTCCTAAGTCTGCTGTTAAAAATGCAACGGTAACAATTAATGTTCTTAACTCGAAAAGCAATAATCCAATATTTGAAAAATCTGAATATATTACAACTGTGATGGAAAATACTTCATATTTTGATCCACCATTTGTTGTGAAAGCAAACAGTTTAGACAAAAGTAATTTTTTTTTACTTTTTTTTCTATTCTAGAAAAAAAAAAAAATTTTTTTTTCAAGTTATGGTCTTATAAACAAATATATCTTTTTTTAATATAATTTAATTTATAAGAATATTCAATAAAAAAATAAAAATTATAATAACTGAAAAAACTTATACAATATTCAATGCTGAATTGTAATAAATTTTTTTTTTTTTTTTTTTTTTTTTTTAACATCTTCACTTCCAACAAGGCTGCAAGCAACCACTATAATAGTTGGAAGTTACTGGAAGAGAAAAGACTAAATCTGTAGAGCAAGATAACGATTGACTGATGACTTAAAAGATTGCAAATTATATGAATCAGGAAAGCAAGATGAAGGAAGCGAATTCCAAAGAACTGATGTTCGAGGAAAAAAACTAGAAGAATAAGAGTTTTTGAAGCACTTAGGAACAGTCACAGAAAAAGGATGAGACTTAATTGAATGGCGAGTAACACGAGAATGAATTTTAGTAGATGGCACAAGGGACGCTAGCTCTTTAGAGCAGTGCCCATTATAGTATTTGTAGAAAAGAGAAAGAGAAGCAACATTACGACGATATGACAAAGATAGGAGATTGGCTGCCAGAGCAGGTCCAACTATGTTTACAATTCGTTTTTGCACCTTGTCTAAAAGAGAAAGAGCATCATTAGAAGATCCGCCCCAGATGTGGCAACAGTATTCCATACAGGGACGGATTTGAGATTTATAGAGATAGAGAATAGAATCTGGAGTAAGAAAGTGTCGAGCTCGATAAAGAGATGCAACCTTAGCAGATGCTAATTTTGCAATGGATTTGATATACGGTTTAAAAGAAAGATCAGAAGTAAGAGTTAATCCTAGAAGATGAATGGTAGATGACTCATCTAGTACATTACCATTCATAAATATAGGAAGATCTAAATTATTACGATAACGATTGGCCGAATAAAATTGAGTTTTATCTGAATTAAAGTTCACCAGCCACTGTGAGCCCCATGCTGTAGCAGAAGTGAGATCCTTTTCAAGCTCAGATACCCCCTCCAAGCAATCAGAGAGTGTAGGCTTCTTATCATGACAAGAGTAAATGGTAGTGTCGTCAGCGAATAATGCCACCTTAGATGTGAGAATATCTGGAAGATCGTTAATGTAAATTAAAAAGAGTATAGGGCCAAGGATTGAACCTTGAGGAACCCCTGAAGTTACAGGATGTGAAGAAGAGTGTTGTCCATCGAGGACAACTTTTATACTACGATTGGAAAGAAAGGACTCAAAAATGTAATAAAAAAAAAATCTTGTAATAAAAAAAAAAAAGAATGTCTGGAATAGACGTCCTCAGGTATTTTATTTAAGACGAACAAAGGACGTCTTATGGAGGACTACTGTCACTTAATTCAGTCATGCTGAATTAAGTGACAACAGTCACTTAATTCAGCATGACTGGAATAGACAGCGTCTATTCGATAAATGATTCAGCGTCTGGAATAGACGTCCTCAGGTATTTTATTTAAGACGAACAAAGGACGTCTTATGGAGGACTACTGTCACTTAAGTCAGTCATGCTGAATTAAGTGACAATACTCACTTAATTCAGCATCTATTTGGTCCAAAATTTGTGTGTAGTTTTGTGAAGCTAACTTAAGTATGACATTTTTGTATTTCTTTCTCAGACATGATATTGGTTTATAGTTGATCTAGTTATCTCTGTACTTATTTTATCTATGTACCATGTATCCAATTTGACAATGAATCTTTATCTTTAATTAATAATTAGCTTTAAAAGTTTTTGTCATATGTTCTCAAAAGTAAGAGCTTTTTTAAGTTGCAATCAAAACAAAAACCTTTAATCACATTTTTCTTCAATTTTCATTGTCTAACATCATTAAGGTGTCGCTTAAATAATATAAGTTGTTACTAGTAATAATTACTAATTTATTGCTGGAAATATGTTTTAACTTAAATTCTTTTGGTATTCATATGTTTTTTTTTATTTATGTTTCTTCTTTTTTGTTTCTTTTTTTAGAACTAACAATAATGTATAGCATACCTCCCAACCAAAATGTTTCTGAAATATTTGATATTGGTATTTTAACAGGAATTATTTTACTCAAAAAGCCTCTTGATTATGAAAAAGCAACATTTTATAAGTTTATTGTCCAAGCTACTGCAGCCGGTACAAATGCTGCAGCAAATGCCAATATTCTTGTAAAAGTTCTTGATGCAAGCAACAAAGTTCCTTTTTTTGTGGATTCTTATAAAAGCATAAACATAGAGGTAAAAATAAGTGTTGGGAGCATAGTTTATAGAGTGTCAGCAGTTGATAAAGATTCAGGAATGAATGGAGTAATTGGATACAGAATTAAATCTGGAAACATTAAAAATATCTTTGAAATTGATTCTACTACAGGTAATTTTTTTTTATTAAATCAGTGTTTCACAGGAAGATGTGGGATTGCACATCTTTATATGATCACTCAATTTTTGTTTTGCTGACTTGAACTTCTAAATAGTTTAATAATTTTCACGCATTTTAAATACGATGTTTAAAAAGCAAAAGTAAGTTAAATAATAATGAAAATGAAAACCATAAACTGAAAAAGCAAAAATTAAGGTTTTTTTTACAAAATTAAGGTTTTTTTTTTTTTATTTTAAAAGTTTTGCTTAATAGACTTGCATAGTTATTTATTTTAACTGATTTATAAACTTACTTTTTTACTTTTGTTTATTTTCTCTTATATTAAGATTAGTTTTTTGTTTATTTTTATTATTTTTTTATTTATTCATCTCCCCAAATCCGAGAAGGCCACTACAGTTGAGGAGGCTACTTTTGTGGTTACAAAATCTCTTAACTCTGAAACGCAAACCTTGACAAATAATACAGCTGCGCAGGGAAAGAAGTATAGCAATAAATATTTATATACATAAAAATTTTCAGCTTAAGAAAATTATCTCAACAAAATATTTAAAAAAATAATTATTAAATGTACTTTGAAGGTTCAGAGTTTGCAGTTAGATATCTGATCAAAATTCAATTTATTAGAACCATTCAATAACGAGAGAGCAGTTGCCGTAGCTCGCTTCTTGACTCCACTCCACTAATGTTTTTTTTTTACATGAATACTTTATTTAAAGTAGCTTCTAAAGCTTCTCCAAGCTCATCACACAATCTATATTATTTTGAATAAATTTTACTGTAAGCACAGCAAAATTGAATTTTTTTTTAAAAAATATTTTTCTTAAAACAAGAAATGCATTATTGTTTTAAGAAATAAATATCCTACCCTTTTAATTTTCAAAGAAATTTTTAAACTATGCTTAGTAGATATACATTTTTGCTGTGATTTCTGATATATTTTTGATATACATTTTTGCTGTGATTTCTGATATATTGTTAGCAACTTTAAAAGATTTTAAAAGTTTTGGAATTCATTGTACCCAAAAGGTCTGAGGAAGTTTCATTTGAAGACATTTTTTCAAACTATGACTTAAAATATCAAATATTAACCCGTAGTCTGGTGAAATATACAATTCAAGATCCAGTGGCTGGTCTTTATCAACTTGCTTTCAGAAGGATTTCAGCTTTGATTTTATCTTTTTTTTTTTTATCTTTTCGGACCTACGTTTGTTTGTAAATACAGAACTTTTTACCATTTTTATATTGTGATCTTGGTCAAAAGATGCGTCCAACCAGCATTTTGAGAAATTCTAAGTTTAAGTAAAACATAGATACCCTAAAAATGTTGATTTGATTCAAGATTTGATTCAATTTGTGAAGTAATGCCTGCTTCAATTTGTAATTTGATTAGGTACCAAAAAAGGTGATTTGCAGGACCATAGTTTAAAATGACATTGCTAAATACTTTTTAGATTTATTTTTGACAAGATAAAATCAAAGTGTTAATTCTATTGATTTCGTTTTTATTATATTTCTAGTGATTTTAAAAAAAGTCTGTCATTAGAAAAAAAAATTGATTATTTTCTTTGTATTTTATATCTGTTATTTTCTTTGTATTTTACATCTGATTTTAAACCATTGTTTTAAACAATTTGTTACTTTATGACATAAATTATTCTTAAATTATAAGACTAAAATATCAAAACTTATGAAATTAAGTTTTACTTTAAAAATTGCAGAAACAAAAAAGTTGCAAGTTAAAAACGCAATTCCCTGGAGAGAGAAATTTATTCAGCCATTCTATTGATCTCTTTGAGTATTTTATTACTCAGAATAAAAACCTGTCTGATTTTAGAGAAATGAAACTTAAATTTCATGAAAGTCAAGACATGTGAAACATTTTTGTTAGTTTTCACCTATTGGTCTGATTTTTTTCCAGGAGTTCACAATAATCTCTGCTCTTCTTAAAAGTCTATACGCAAATAATTTTAAAATTAGAAACTTATTCAGTTTCTTTTTGCAAAAAGATATTTTTAAGTGAAGCAGTTTTATCTTTACCTTACTATTTGTTAACCTTTTATGGTTTTATGATATAAATAGTTTATTCCCCAGTTTAACAATAATTAATTTTCAGCTATGGCTATATGAAACTTTCTGACATGATGGCAGGGGGTTAACAAGAATAATGGATAGTTAGCTAACCATGTACAAACTATGTTTAAACACCCAGGGCTTGAAGTGGGTAAACTGTATGAGATAAAAAGCATGTAACTAATTTCTAATTGCTGTGTATTGGGCCTCAAGGCAATCGAGTTTAAAAATCACGTTTTTTTAATTTCATTGTGTTTTTAAAATATCACCAGTTAACAAAATTAATAGTAATAAAAATACGCACACTTGGTACAGATAAAAAACCTTCCATTAATTGTAATGGCGTTATTATATAGTTAACGATTTGTAAACTTCTATTTACCCGGATTGTTTGAAAATGGGCTTAAAAACTCAAAAAATTTAAAAATCTTAGAGTGATTTGAGTCATCTAAAAAAAAAAAAACATTTCATTAAGAAAACAATACCTTGGGATTATTTTAATACTCTGTGTATTAAAATTTGTTCATGAGGGTCAAAATGGGATGGACGTTACTACCAGGGATGTGGTGGGGGTTGAACTTGGAACTTCTTGTTTATGTGGCGAACGCTCTATTATTACACCACTACCGCATTTCAAGTTTATGGTTTTTGTTTTCATTTTTTTTGTTTTGATTTTAAGCGCCATTTTTAAAATTATCAAACTAATTAAAAGCTGTGGCCGACTCAGCAAAACAAAAGTTGTACCTGCATGGTCATATAAAGATGTGCCATTGAACATCTTCCTGTGAAACTTTGTAAATGTGTTTAAAGTTAGTTTTTTATAAGTGCAAATCCTTTTTAAAATCACTATATAGGTGACATACGCATTAACAACTCATTGGATACAAACACTGAACGTTTTACCTTGTATATAGTTGCATTTTACATTGGCAGACCTTCTATAGAAAGTATACCGTTTATTCTGGACATTTATATCACAGGCGTGAGTGAGATTTGTTTTATTATTTTGCTATAAATTATTTGATTTTTTCAGTAAAAATAAAATTAAAAATTGTAATGTAGTTTTAAAAGTTCTTTTATCAAATTTAGTTTTTTTTTTAATATATATATTTTTATATAGTTTTTATAATATACCAAAAAAAATTAATTTATTTTAACTTTTTTTCACTTATTTTTTAAAATTAAAATAAATAAAATAGATAACTAAAAATAAATTGTTGTTTCAAATTTTATTGTTAAATCAGTACCATAATTTAATAAAATGATAAACAAAAAAATTTTAAGATATTGTTTTTTTCTTATTAGAAATTAGAAAAACAGCTTTAGGTAACATGGGGGTGTGTTAGTCCCAAAATGCAGGATTTTTCTAAAAAGGCCCAACTTTTTTTTATAAAGGAAATTATAAATGTAAAACAAAAGTTTTTTTCAGTGAGAAGAACAACATTGCAAAACAAACATTATAACAAAAACAAGAAAATTTATACTTTTTTTTTAAATAAAAAACAAAAAATAACAATTAGTTATAATGGTTGATAATTTATATAAGATAATAAAGATAAATTTTTATTTTGAAATAAAATTTTTTTAGTTTAATCTTTCACACCTTTTCAGTGAAATAACTAATATTATTATTTGAAGGTGAATGATCATATTATTATTTGAAGGTAACTGACATTTTAAACAAGTTTTAAGTTATAAATAAGTTAGTTTTTAGATTTTAATTTTTGACTTGAAACAGGATTGCTTTCCCTAAATAGTTGCTCCAAACTTTAGCTTTGAAGTTCAAGGGTAAACCCTTGACTTATTGTTTAAAATCCTGATTGATTTCCTTGAATAGCATAGTTTGAAGAATTTGATCAAGAGCACGGGATCTTACAACTTTCATGTTGTTTACCATAACTTGAAAGTTATGGTAAACAACAATTTATGTAGTGTCTGACATTATTATTAATCAAATGTTGTATGGTATTCAAATATTATAGACAAAGTAATGTTTTAAAATTATTCTCTATGCACACTTTACTTTACAACTTTACTGCTCAGAGTAGTTTGAGCATTTTAAGTACAGTTTTAAAGTAGATTTTTTTGTGGAAGAGATTTGTTTAAGAAACAAAAAGTTTCATTTGAATAATTTTGATTGGCTTAGCTTCCGTATTAATTTTACTTCTATGGTTAAACTGATAATTGATTAAAATTTAATTTTCAGATGTATATTTAGGTTAATCAACTTACGTTTTAATCAGTGTTTGTGTGTGGAAGGGAAGGCGGACATATTTAGTTTTTCTTAAGGTGAGCTTAAAGTGCCTTAAACAACTAAACTTTAAAAATTTGATTGAGCTGTTTTGTTAGCATTGACTCAAAAAATAAAAACATAATAAAACCCATGTTCTAAGAATTATCTCCACTTTTCACTGCAAAAGGTGCTTCATTAATAAAAATAAAAGCAGTGATGATTTAAGAAAATGATTAGGCATTGTGGGTATATCTATTTTATTGCGTCAGGTAAGATTTAGGTGGTTTGGACATGTAAAGCATAAAAATGCAAATGACTGGTTATCAGCATGTAGAGAGTTGGAAGTTTCAGAGAAAGCTAGAGGTAGAAGCTGATAAACTTGGAAAGATTGTATTTCAAGTTTGTTAGTCTATGCGATGAAATACAATGGGTATTGTATAGAAAAACTCAAGATAAACATCGCATCAATTTTACTTATTAAAGTAGACTTCTTTCTGGAAAATATCTGACAAATGTTGAAGTAGAAAATAGTACAGTAAACAGTATGGCTTCAACATTACTGAATTTTCTTACTGAATTTGATACTAATGAACGCTTAGAAGCAATTGCTCTAGATAATACAAGTTTTAACACAGGTGTTAGCAATGGTTTAGTTGTCTGATTAGAAAAGATTTTTAAACATAGCATTCATAAAGTGGGTTGCTTACTTCACCATGGTTAGTTACCTTTTTGTCATCTTATATTGAAAATAGAAAAATTAATTATCTTAAAAACTATAAAGGCCCTACTGGTAAACAAGTATTTGAAATTTTCATGTATGAACAACTTTTTATTAATTCAAAATTTTGTAAAATCTTCAGGGTCACTCCTGCTGCTTTTTTCAAGAAAAGTTTCTAGATGCTTTGCTACAAGACAATGTGAAAGTTGGAAGAGCCCGTGCTTTTGATCAAATTCTTCCAACTATGCTATTTGAGGAAATCAATCAGGATTTTAAACAATAAGTCAAGGGTTTACCCTTGACTTATTGTTTAATTTACCCTTTTGATTATACCCATTTGATTTACCCTTGAACTTCAAAGCTGAAGTTTGGAGCAACTATTTTAGAGAAATCAATGCCGTTTCAAGTCAAAAATTAAAGATAAGCCAGTTATATCCTTGAACTTCAATATTGAAGTTTGGAGTTTGTTGATATTAATGTTGCTTGAAATCGATGTTGCTTTATTACAATTTGAGCAACCTATTTCATTCTTTATTACCTAATGTAAGTTACAAACTATTTAAACTGCTAGAAAAGTTTCTCTCTGCCAAACAAGTCACAATCGGTGGAAAGAACTGTAAAACTTTCATCTGAAGCCTTAAAAAAAGTTTATGAAAGGGTGAAGAGGCATAACTGCATGCTGATTAAAAACTAATATAAGAAAAATAAAAAGTTGTTGTATTGCAGTATTAATGTTAAAAATAAGATAAACCATGTGCAGGGCGCAAAGATGTGAGACAACCTAAATCAAAATCAGAACTCTCTGTAAACACTTTTAAATAAAAAAGAATCTTGCAAAAAAAAAAAAAATAGGATAATACTCTTTTCGAAAAAATTGAAGTGATTTCTTAAAATTACCTTAAATCCAAATTAGCTAATTTTTTCAGAATCGGGTTTGTATATCTGTATCTCACAAGTTCCAAATTGAGCCAATGTGTCCAGAAACAAAGTATGTTTAGACACTTAATCAGCATGCTCAAGAGTATTGTAATTTTTATAGTGCTGGTATTTTTTTATAGTGTTTTTTTTTTTTGGTTAAGTTTCCCTTAATACTAAAATTCTCTCTAAATGTATATTTAAAATATACATTTAGAGAGACCAAAAATGTATTTTTTAAAAAAAAAAACTTTTCTAAATAGAAATATAATAATTTTTAATATGGTTATGTTACTAGATAAATTATTATGCTCCTGCATTCCCATCATCATCTTTCACTGTATCATTAGTTGATACTTCCATACCTGATCAATATGTGTATCAACTGGCAGCTAATGATCCTGATCCAGGTCCTGATGGTTATCTTAAATACAATATTGTAAGTGGCAGCAACAATGGGTTATTTTATATTGACGTAACAGGTTTTTAACTTTTTTTTTTTTTTTTATATTTATTTCTTTTATAAATAAAAAAAAATCTTTTTTTTCAATTTTTTTAACTATGAATCAGGCTTGGTCGGGAAGCGGGTGTGATCGCACTCAATAACTTACCATGGAAATAATATTTAGTTAAGAAAAACCGGATAGATTTTTTAGTCGTTTTGAGAACATTTAAATTTATGTATGTTTCTTTGTTTGTCCGCAAAATAATAACTAAGTTTATTATAAATCGTAAGTTTTAAATATTTTGTAAAAATAAAAAAAGAATATTTGCAAACACAAAAATCCCGCCAAATCTACGGACATCTAATTTTATTGGTTCAAAAAATACTAGCTGAAATTTCTAGAGTATTCAAGAAATACTAATCGAATATTCTAGAGTATTCTGTTGAAATATTTTTAAAAATTGTATAATGTGAGTTTTGTTATGTTTTTGTTGAGATTTCTAGCATAAACTGTTTTAAGAATATACTATCAAACAAAATATTATTTTAATACTATGGCTCATTCTCGGAGCAAAGCTATAAATGTTTTAAACTAACATTATTTGTTTACAAAAATAAATGTTTTAAGTTTATATTTCTTAATTTGTCAACATTTTGTAAATACATTATTATAGATTTTATTATTATATTCTTATTTTTTATATATAAGGGATGTATTTTTTATGTATGTAATGTATTTTTATCCATGTATTTTTATGTGTGTAATTTTATGTATGTGTATTTTATTCAAATGTAATCTTTTAAAGCAATTTGTGCAACTGATTTTGTAAACAAAAATACTTTCAATAATAACTGCGTTTTTAATGAAATTGTTAATAATCATCAAAGTTAATAAAAATAATTTTAACCACTAATCCATTTTCCTCAGTGTACCCGATAACTGATTTTTTCCCCCAAGAAAGAAAAGTTTTTAAGTTTTTAGAAATTGGTTTACTAACTTCAATTATTTTTGCTTCAGCCATTCTTACAAACTTGTTATACTTGAACTTAAAGTTACTTTTTTCTGTTTTAAATACTAATTAAAATTATAAAGCCCACTCACTAAACATCATCAGCGCTATTGTGAAGCAGTTCTGCTTCTTCCTCACATAGTAATTTAATGTTTTTAGTTAATTTCTATTTAGCTAATTGAATTTCTACATTAATTCAATGGTTTAATTATTTCATTTGTTCATCTTACTAAGAAGAATTGTTTCAAATGTGTTAAACTTTTCAAACTATGCGAAGCATAAAACAATTAGTAAAAAAACTTTTTTATTTATAAATAAATCATCTAGCGTTAGTTTTATTGGTTGAATCTTGTTGGACTTCAAGGTTAGGGTTAGGGTTAGGGTTTTTTTTTTCATGGCCGGGGGCTGCATTATTTTGGTCTGTTCTTTTTTATGTGCTACAGCTTAAAAATGACTAAAAAAAAACCCGAATGGCCCTCTTTACTATTTTGTGGCCCCTAACATTGTGAGTCTTGGGGTTATAGCCCTTTAACCCCCCCCCCTAATCATTAATAGTAAGTTGTTACTTTATATAAAAAATGTTGCCTAATTTTATAAAAAAAAATTATAAAAGAGCGATGTTTCAAAAATATTTGCTCTAATCGTATTTATTTTGCTTGAAGTTCTTTCGCGTTAAAAGCATTTAACTGTCTCTCATCAATCCAGTTAATCTTATTGCGCTTTTTTGTTTGTTTTTGAAATGTTCTCAAAACGACTAAAAAATCTGGCAGGTTTTACGCAACTAAATATTATTTCTGTGGTCAATTATCGAGTGCGATCGCACCTGCTTCCAGACCAAGCCTGTGAATGTGTGTTAAGATGACATGACACAAAAATAGCCTGCTACTGAGATATGGATGTATAAAATTTAACACAATTTTGTCAAATATATTGCATATTATAAAAGTTTTTTTTAGAACATTTTTATAAATATGTTTGTAGGAGTTAATACAATAGTTATTTCATTTATGACTTTCTGTAATTTTGTTAGCTTGTCTCTCCATGCCGCATTCTTGTTCACTAAGGTTTTAGAGAGAGGCTTGTAACCACAAAAAAAAAAGCCTCCTTAACTGTAGTGGCCTTCTTGGCCTTGGAGAGGTACACAATATTAAAAAAAAACATAATTTTTGGTATAAATTGATTAGTTTTAGTTTTTGTTTTAGTTTTTTCTTTTTCAATTTGTTTTTTTACTTAGTTTTTTCAGACAGTAAGTAGAGCTAAAGAGCAAAGAAACAGAAATGAAAAGTTATAGAGCAAGAAAAAGATTGACAGAAGACTTAAAAGTTGTTGGTTGTATGAGTCAGAAAAATATGAAGATAGGAGAGAGGGTTAAAGTCCTTGGAAAATAAACTTGACAACAAAAGTTTTAAGAGCATGCAGGGGCAGATAAAGTAGAAGAATTTGTTGACTTTGTTGATTGACCAATTAAACAAGATTGAGTTTTAGGTGCTGGACCTAGAGATGATTTACTAGTTCCTTCAAGCAGCGACCATGATAGCATTTGTAGAAAAGAGAAAAATATGCAACTTAATGACGATGGGGGAGAGACTCAAGCTTAGCAGATAGCGTAAGTTTAACAACGTTTACAATGCGCTTTTTGACCTTGTCTTGAAAAGAAAGAGTATTATTAGAAGTGCCAGTCTAAATATGTTTTATACACAGGCGAATAAGAGATTTGAAGACAACAGTGAATAAGAGATTTGAAGGCAACAGTGTTTTATACACAGGCGAATAAGAGATTTGAAGAGGTAGAGAATGGAATCATGAGTAAGAAAGTGGCAAACGCAATAAAGAGAAGTAAACTTAGCAGATGCTGGTTTAGCAATTGATTGTATATATGGTTTCCATCAAAGGTTGTGATCGATAATCCAAGAAGACATAGAAATAAAGACTCAGTGAGAGGGTTGCCTTTAATTTAAATAGAAATGTTGACAATATTGTTTAGTTTAGATGTTTTCACTTATCATTTCACTTATCTGACATTCTTTTCCATTATTAACTGCCTTTTTAATACTTTAATATTCAATAAAAATATGTTGTTTCAAAAAAACTGTGTTTTTAAAAAAAAATTAGTTAACTCAAAATTGAACATCTTTTAATTTGTATTTAAAGCTGAAAATGGTAAAATCAGAAATCTAGCAAAACTTTCATAAATTAATGAAAAATTAGTATTGAGAGAACTTGTATTCATTGATGTTCATATATTATATATATATATATATATATATATATATATATATATATATATATATATATATATATATATATATATATATATATCATATAGTATTGTAATATATATATATTTGTATTTTTATATATATATTTCATATATATTTGTAAGTAATATAGTAGTAATTAGTAATAACTTTTTTAGGTAGAAGTTTTGAAAAAATAGATTTATTTTAAATATTGTGTTATTTTTTATACTAATGCAAATTTTTTTTTTATTAGGCATTGTTCGTGTTAAACCACCAAATGGATTTCAATTTTTGTCTCAATACCAATTAGGTATCACAGCTGAAGACAGCTTTGTACCTCCAAAAGTTTCTTCAATTTTTACTCTTTTTGTAAGAACAACTCCAAGAATATTTGTTGATAATGTTCAACTTGGAAGTTATCAGTTTCAGTCGACAATTTCATTTAAAGATTATGCTTACTTAAAGAATCTTTTTATGATCCAAGTGTTAGTGCAAAGATACGCACCCTACGATTCATCTTGTAACTATTTTATTTTGAATTTATTGACTTTTAAAAACTAATTAAGCATATTTTGACAGTTGTCAAGACAAAAATAAAGATTAATAGAGGACTATTTAAAAATAAATAAGACAGGCTATACAACCAAAACAGTACTCAACAATAATATCAATAAAAAAAATTTAAAAAAATAAAAATAAATAATAAAAAAATATATATATATATATAAAAATAAAAAAATAAAATTGACCAATGATCAACATTTGTAGTATAAGTTTATATTACACACACACTTACATATATATATATATATATATATATATATATATATATATATATATATATATATATATATATATATATATATATATATATATATCCTTATAGTGTAGTCGAAAGAGACTTTTATGGTAAAAAAAGTCTCTTTCAACTACAATTTTAATTACCTCGGCTCTTAAGCTTTAGTTGATTGTCATCGAAATGTCAAAGCAATTAAATTAATGCGGAAGTACATTAAATTTTATTGTTTTTTAAAAAAACCGCAATAATAATGACTAGAAAGTTTTTTTTTTAATTAATAGTGTTTTTGTTTTTGTTTTATTAAAAAAACATTTTTAAAACATGCGTAAGTGTTGCTACATTGACTATCTCATAGCCTGCTGCTACAAGGGAGTGTTACTACAACGACTATCTTATAGCCTGACTCCCAAGGGAGTGCTGCTACATCGACTGACAAATAGCCTGACTTGCAACGGAGTGCTGCTACATCGACTGACAAATAGCCTGACACGCAACGGAGTGCTGCTACATCGACTGACAAATAGCCTGACTCGCAACAGAGTGCTGCTACATCGACTAATGGTTTGATTTGGGCAGGCAGTCTATCATTAAAAAAAAAAAAGTTTTGAAGTTTTTTAACATTTTCTGGTCAGGCTTATTAACGTGCTCTTTAAAACTACAGTTTATGGGAAAAACTTTGTGACTACCATGCAAGAGTATATATATATATATATATATATATATATATATATATATATATATATATATATATATATATATATATATATATATATATATATATATATATATATATATATATATATATATATATATATATATATATATATATATATATATATATATGTATATATGTATATATATATATATATATATATATATATATATATATATATATATATATATATATATATATATATATATATATGTATATATATATATATATATATATATGTATATATATATATATATATATATATATATATATATATATATATATATATATATATCGAAATTTCTAGAGTTCCAATAATTATTGCAGATTTTATGCGAAACGCATTTTTAAAATTAACCACAAAAGTTTTTTTTATTTGACCTCTTGCAAACAAATGTTTTTATGATAATTTTATGTGTTTCTAAAACAATTTAAAAAAAAAAAAAGCAAAAATTGTTGCTTATAAAGATATGGGTTTGGTCCAATCGAAGTATTGCAAAGAAAATCAAAAGGTCTTATCATGCAGTGAACAATTTTATAAATTTAGATAAAAATTACAACAAAAATCACTTTAAGGGCGGAAATAAAAAAACAACCAAAAGGCAACATTCTTTCATTTTGCGTTTGGCGTCATTAGGAATATGAACACCAAGAAAAGTAAGGACTGAACTTTAATTACCTGTGACTACAAGACGTGTCCAACAAATTTTGTCAAAATCAGGACAATTCCAATGGAAAAGAATGATCACAAAACCACCATTGACAAAAAAACATAAAAGTGCAAGATTTAAGTTTCCACAACAAAATTCCAATATGTTTTATTACAACAAAAATGAATGCAAAAAATTACGCAGATCTTTTAGAAGATATTTTATTAGAGTTTAGTGAAGGTTTAGCTACTGAGAACTGGATTTTCCAACAAGATAATGCGATGATTCACACAGCACAAAGTTTAAAAAAGTGGTTCCAGAAAAAAAAGATAAATTTTTATTATTTTTATTTTTTTATTCACCTCCTCAAGGCCAAGAAGGCCACTACAGACGAGGAGGCTACTTATTTGTGGTTATAACCCTCTCTCAACTCTATAACTCCAAAACACTATAATAAAAAAATAGATAAATATTTTAGATTGGTCATCATGTTCACCTGACCTGAACCCTATTGAAAATTTATGGCGAATATTGGTGCAAACTATATATGGAAATTCTCAACAGTATAATACATTACAAGAATTTAAAACATCTATCCAACAAGCATGGAACAGTATTTCAAAGGTTTGTTTGGAAAATTTTATAAAAAGTATGAAAAACAGAATCTTCGAATTAATTAGTGTGAAAGGTGGCAGCACGTATTATTAAAAACTAAACTAATTAAAAAAATATTATCTAGAACGAAAACTATAAAGGATTACCTTTGATGGAACTATGAAAAACAGAATCTTCGAGTTAATTAGTGTGAAAAGTGGTAGCACACTTATAAATAATTACCTTTGATGGACCTATAGAAATTTTGCCTATTTTTTCGAAATATTTCTAAAATTTAAGTTTTACAAAATAAATTAATAATTTTTTTATATTAAAATTATTTGCTTATTTATTTATTCCTAATAACTCTTGTAATGAACAAAAAAAAAATGCAAATGTTTCGTGAATATATTTATATGTAAAAATTGTAAGTGGAACTATGGAAATTTTGCTGAGTGTATATATATATATTCGCTGAGTGTGTATATATATATATATATATATATATATATATATATATATATATATATATATATATATTCAATAATTAAAGTTTCAATAATAAAAAAAAAAACTTATAAAAAAGCATGAATCAATGAAACTAGTATAAAAAGTTTTAAAAATTAAATATACAATTTCATGTATATCTTTAAAGTTACTTACTCACTGTTACATAAGTAATACGTTAATATAAATTAACTGCAATTAACAATAGCCTTTTAAAAAAGTATTTGAAGTTCATTATTGTTGTTAAACATCTTCTTAAGCATTAAATTAATTTAATTTCAATAAAGCATCAATTAAAACAAAACAAAGAAGAATAAGCAGTTTAGTGAAAGAAAATAAACCAGAAAAATTATTATTTGCTGCAAGTAAAAAATATATAAAAAAAAGGAAATTTACCATACGCAAAAGAATTTTCAGCTGATGAAGCGCTTGCCTTAATTTTAGATTGTGGGCCGACTAAAAATGCACATCAAATTATAAGATCTGCAGCAGCAATTAAAGGCCACAATAACTTGTATCCAGCATATAATAATGTTAAAGAATCTAAAAAATAATGCTATCCAGATATGGAAACTGTCAGGTCAGGGATGTTGAAAATTATTCAGAATCTCTTAATCATACTGCATTAAGATTGGTCTTTTTCACAAAGTTGTATATAAAGATTAACTTTTAACATCAAAAGTTGGTTTTGATGGTGCTACAGGTCAGGCAATATACAAACCAGATCAAGATGTAAGCAATCTTAGTATTGAAGAAAGTTTATTACCTGCTTTGTTCCATTAGAGTTAAGTGGACTTATTGGTACAGAAAAAAAAGTAATCTGGCTTAATCTTCATCCTTCTTCAACTTCTTGTTTATATATGTAAAAGAAACAAATAAAGTCTTCAAAGCAGAGGAACAATTCATTGAAAGTCAAAATCAAGTCAAAGTTTAACAGTCTTACCAAATGGTTTAACAGTGCAACATATATTAGAATTAACCATGATAGATGGAAAGGTTGCTAATGCACTGCCTAAAAAAACAAATTCAGCTCAATGTTGCCCAGTGTGCGAAATAACTCCGTCCAAGATAAATAACATTGATGCATGCCAAAAAAAAAGTTACCATTTATAAACTGAACTTAAGTATGGCTTGTCAGCATTACATGCATGGATAAAGTGCATGGAATGCTTTTTACATGTTCCCTACAAGTTTGAAATAAAGAAATGGAGAGTATATGGAACTGTTGAAAAACAGTCTGCATAAAAAAAAGATGAATGAGTTTCAACGCAAATTAGTTGAAGAAATTGGTTTGGTTTATGACAGCCTAAAGCTAATGGCCATGCCAGCAAGTATTCATAAAACTCTTTTTCATGGTCATTAAGTTATAAGAACAGTGTGTCGTCCAATAGGCATGTTATCAGAAGAAGCTTAAGAAGCAACAAACAAACTTTTTTTAAAAATGGTAAATATTT